AACTTCAATTCTTCCAAGATAGTCCATGGTGTACGATATTGAAAATTTCTGAGAAGTTAAGGAACACAAGGAAGGTTGCACTGCCCCAATCCCGATTTCTCCACAAAGCATTCACAAAGACAACCAATTCAATTTCCATGCTGTATCTTGGCCTGAAACATGACTGCCAAGAATTATTTTAAAGATTTTAGTAGCTTCCCTAAAAAGGGAAGGTTGGAGACAGGTCTAAAATTATCCAAGATAGCTGGGTTGAGCAAAGTCTTCCTGAGCAGGGAGTGCTTCTCTTTTAGAGGAGATGGGAACGCCCTTTCACTTAAAGAAGCATTGATTATTACCCAAATCCAACCTCCTGCCCCCTTACAGAGGCCTTAACTGACCAAGAGGGGCAGGAATAATCTGTGATACTGCAAGCAGAGGGCCTAATTTTTAAAATAATTTTTAAAATAAGTTTCTATAATATCTAAAGGTATTCCCTGGTTGTTGACCACAGTTGCATCATTTAATGAACAGTAAAATAGTGATAATACTTAAATGCTTCAGAGGAGAAAAGCAATTTGATTCCTCTGCCCCAGGACAATCATCAAATTATATAGATAAAATCATCTCCAGAGTGATTTTAGTTGGAGTGCTAAAAACAGAGACTAAAGCATAAGCAAAAGCATTTCTTACGAAACCTTTGAAATCCAAGTGTAACATGCACACATGCCCCCAAAATAATGTCTCCTATATTTAGACTACGGTTCTTCCTCAAAATATGCACAAAGGACTTATCACAGTAGACGTGTATTTTAAGGATGAAAGTGGCTAAAGATACAAATATGCATGCTTGGTATTTGATTAAAAAATGGCTTGAAAAAAACAGACATGTTGCAAAAAGTGATGCTGAGTCTGAATTATACATGCCATACTCTACTTCTGGAAATTTCCATCATACTCCTGGAAATCTAGTAGTTGTTTGTAAGAACAAAGAATATTTACATATATATACTGCCTATAACTTCTCAATGTGCTTTGTGAAATGTCCTCCCATTTTTTTCTGAAGATGGGTGCTCTTGTACCAGCCAGCCAAATTTATGGGACCATTATCCTGGTATTTTGCACTACCTCCTCAAAACTTAGTGATGCCTCTATTTTTGCTTTTCCCAGTGCTTAATTCTTAACTTAAAAAAAAAAAAAAGCTGTTCATATATTTGAACCAAATTGTATTTAGGGATGCATTGTTTAGATAAAAGGGGTTTAACGTCTTTCACCCTGAATTCTCATCTGCATTTTTTTTAATGCAAAAACAGGATGAACAGTCTTCTGAGCAATCATATGTAGAAATTATACTTTTTGGAACCAGACTACTTTATTTTTTTTTAACAGAACTCACTCATTTTTACAGTAGTGCTATGCCCAGTTCTTCCTTTGGCATCCCACCCTCCCCCTGTTTTTAAACCAGTAAACATTTTTGGGGAGGGGTGAAGGGAACTATTCACAGATTTGAGTTACTAATAAGTTAATGTTGCTTGCCCAACTTAAAGCTTATTCTCACTTTCAGTCCTGTATGCCAGCAATATTTCACAATTTGATTTTGGATTACTATCATTATTTTCTTTCAGTTCAATGCATGTGGCCAATTTATGGTTTAAAATACTTTTTCACACGCACACCCATATATGTTTTCCACTGAAGTCTGTGCTTTTTCCGAGACCCACCCAGTTCCAGTACAAGGTTGGTGAAAGTGCCAAGTGCTCTTGCTTTCCATGCAGTGAATGGAAAAAGAAGCCCTCCCCCCACCCTTATTTTCCATTGCTGCACATTCTTGGAGAAAGAAGGGAAAGACTTTTAGAGGAATTTGGTTATACCTGTTGTTTGAAACTGGATGCATGAATGAGCCCATTTAGTTGCTATCTATTGGTAAAATTTGTTGTAGGAAAGTCAAACATCATTTGAAACTGGGTATGAATTCCAAAATAAATAGAAGAGAGTGATGCTTACTTTGAAATAACTTTAAAATAGGTGGAGAATGAGTTGCCATGAATCTTTGTTTCATTTCAATAGTATGTCAATAGTACCCTTGCATTTGTTGATGTTTTAGGAGGGAGGTGGAAAACACCAAAGTTCAAAAGGAGAAACCACTGAGTACTTTGTAATGAAAGTAAAGCTTTGTCTGCAGCTGCACCAACCTTTCATTAATGAAAAAGAAAGAAAAAGCAAGTCAATTATTTCAGGTTATCAGGGAAAAATGCAGAGCTCCGCCATCCTTTCCTTATGCCTGAAGAATGTGAGTTAAAGGAGGGGTTACATAGCCTAGGTGAATTTGCTCATGCTCCATATTTTCTAAGGACTACACCTTCCCCTATTGTAAACCTCCTGAATGGTTTCTCTAGGAATGGCTACCAGTTGCCACTGACACTGAGGATCCAAATTATGAGCGAGTAATTGAGTTTGGGTTGTTGCTGACATCTGTCAGACCTGTATTGATTCATGATGGATAGATGTTTGTTTTTGACATGTTCTTTGTTATCAACCACCCAGAGATGCAAAGATGATTAAATTAAAAAATTAAAATCTAGTGTGGGTATCCCAGTCCAGGAGAAAAACATCTTCACTTTTTCCTACATATGTATGCATTGCATGGAGATGGCTGCAAACTTGAATTCTGTGCATGCAAGCTGTCCCATAACTTTTTCTCACTTTTGGAAAATGAAACCAGATGTATGCATATATATGCCATGGAAATAGAAAGACAATCATAAAACAGAAAAAGTTCAAGGATTTCCAACAGTGCCCTAGCCTATCCTTTTCAGATATCACATCTAAAACATGGATGGATAATCTGCTCCCTCGAGATAACATGCAGCCCTTGATCACAGAGAGTGTGACCCTTGGAGGGAGCTTTGCTGAACTTTCCCAGTGCTGAGCTGATCAGCATAGTGAGCTGGCCATTTTGGATACTGATAAAGGCTCTCCTTATGCCATGATCTAATTAGCAGACTGTGGACCAGGTAGTTGGTTTCCAACTGATAGCAGGAAGACAATAATCTGCAATGTATTGCTTGGAGAGATGGGAATAAGGGGGTGAAAGTAATATGTGTGTGTATGTGTTGAGGTGTCATGTATGTATGAATCGAGACTGAGTAATCTCTGTGGCTCTCAAGGTTAAAAAGTTAGGACTTGAAGAATTGGTTCTAACAGAAGTCTTTCTCAGAATGTTGCTTCCTTACTCAAAGAACTCCATAAAGTCTATAACATCACCCAAAGGACAAGATGAACACTAGCTTGAGACTGGAGATAGCAGGGTGCCAGCAAGACTGAGTATTTATAAGGTCAGCCCATTTGGGAGCTCCACTTTCTTTGGTTGTCCCTCAGCTACAGTATCATACTGCAGTTCAGTGTGACAGGTTTCCAAGCCAGCTGGCTATTGTAGGAAGTATGTCCTGCATCCTTCCTCACTCTGTTACATTGTCTCTGTTCAACTCGAGGCCTGAAAGCAGAACATTTCCCCTTTTTTATTGTACTATAAACTTTTTCACTGCAGGCCAACAGTATCATAAATAAATAAATAGACATGTTTCTTGGTGACACATTATTGCAATATTTACATGGCTGGCTATTGTTGATCTGAAATTAAGAAATCTAGAAATACACAGAATATGAGAGGACCAGCCAATGGTAGAGCTATAAGATCCTGTAGATAGATCAGACCTTCTATTCTTCTTTCTATGGGCTATGTCGAAAGATGTGAAGATCAAAGTAAAGAAAGATTACAGAGAAGCAAAGGGGTATCATAATACTCTATTCCCAACAGCTCTCCTCAAGCGTGTTATTGCTGGAGGACAAAGAATTTGGAAGGGAAAAAAAATAGCTTGTGCGATTCAGGCACATGTACTGAAAGGAAAGATGCAATACAAAATATGTATGTATGTGGAGCAAATATACATGAGCTTCTGTTGCTTTGACACATACACCTGGTA